AGACACCGTAATCATGTGCAAGATGACTGATACAGGACTGCTCCTGGCAGCACCACGTATGAGAGTCAAAACATGTGAATAACTGAATGTACACAGAGTAGATGAATATGATGTGAGACAGGTATTTATTGATTTTCTTCAGCTAAAGGAATTTGAGTCTATTTTTATGTTGAGTAGAGAAAGGATGACATTACATTACAAAACAAACAATATGAATGAAGAAAACATCTTCCTGAAAAGGTGTGCTCTAGACTCTGGTTCAGGAACTGGCCAGGGCCAGAGGCAAGACCTCTCCCTCAAGATGGAAGGGGAAGCTGCAGACACCGGAGCCTGAGCAAGTGCGGTAGGGTCGAGGATCAAGCAATGGAGGAGGCGGACTTTACTTTCAACGCAAAGACCCGCTGACACCTCAGGGGTCATATGCTGAGACATCCAGGGCTGGGGAAGTGGTAACCACCTGGAACAAAGTCTGAGCTCCTGGAGTAGCTCATGCAGGACACAGAGCTGACTAGAGGCACCAGCAGATACAGAGGCCGGTGAGGAGACTAGTAGCATCCCCCAGAGAAAAGAGGATGGGAGCGTGCACTGAGCTTGGGGACGGGTCTGAGGAAGGTGGTGCAAGTGACGGGATTCAGGAGATGTACAAGATGTGAAGCGCACAGGACTGGGGCATGGCCGGATGCGGGGACTGAGGGAGGCGGCGGTGTGAGGATTCTCTGAGGCCGTACCCAGTCTCTAACCTGCTTGGGTGGCAGGACCATTCACTGAAACTTGGGAGGTGGAAGGAGTGAGCAACATTCTGGGTACCTTGCCAGGCATGCTGACTTCGGGTCAAAGGGCTCCGTGCCTTCCAAACCCCCAGAGAGGCCAGAACAAGAAGCTTCCCCAGGGAACCAGGGCCAGTGGTCTCCTCCTGGTCTCGAGCCTGCAGGGTCTCCCACCTGCCCACATCTTGGCTCCTACCTGGATAGGCGCTTTGAGACAGGTGTCTCTTCCACGTCCACAGCTCCTGCCCGTGCTCCAGCTGGTAGATCAGCTCAGGTCTAGGAACAGGACACCCTGTTCACAGAGAAGGAAAGAAGACACTAGGGTTTCTGTGAAAAGAAAGAAAACGTCTCAATCTATTCTGGGACTTCAGGATGCGGAAATGACCTCGGAAAGAAGTTGCTCCCATCCACACTAACAAAATACCAACCTGTCACCTGGAAATAGGCACAAACACCACTGCTGGGATCCAAAGACTTTAGACAGTAGTGCTGGCTGTGTAGACAGCACCTATTCTCTTTGGCTTCCAGCACACAGAATCCCAGGGAATATGACTTCCTCCTTCCAGAAAGTGTTTCCTAATCAATCCAAGTAAGTGAGTCTCAACCATGCGTGCATCAACCCCTCCTGGCATGTTGGGTTCACATCCAATGGAAAGGAAATCTCTGCAGGTGAGGCCTGGATATCGGTAGATTTTAAAACCTCCCCAGATGATTCTGGCATCAAAGGAAGGTTGAAAAACTAGTCTCTACCAACCTGCAAGTGGCATTCCTCAATCACCAATAGTTAGAGGTACGCAACTTTAGAAAGCTCTATTCCAGGATGGCTGAATGAGGGGATCTGCTGCTCCTGTTGTCTGGCGGCGTCCCGGGACTTTTGTGAGGGAACCTGCCTAAAAGACCTACACCATAGAGAGGAAGTAAAGAAACACACAGCTGGGTTATCACCCACCCACCTGGGAGCCAGTCCCACCTCTGAGCTTCTTATTATGTGAGATAATAAATTTCCTTCAGGGTGAAGACTGAGCTGCTCTGTCATATGTAGCCAAACACAGATGCAGGGTAAAAAGACACAGGACTCTATAGAGAAATCAAAGGCAAAGGCACCAGGACCCACAGAAGGCTGCTCTGGCAGATCCTGAACAACACCCCAAGATTATCAGTTGTCACTAAGCAAATCGCTCATATCTGCTACACGCTCAGCACAGGGCCCAGTAATGGGGCAGTGGAAAGGGAAGACTCCCTTCAGCTATATGGGGCTTTAGGAAGCTGAAAGCCCAAGAGAAAAAGGAGGGGGGTGCGCTTTAAAACTTATGTACCAAGCAAATACCAGGTCTAGAAAACATAACTCATTCTAAACTATTTATTGATTTAAAATAGTAACAACCCCTAGATACAGAGGGAGAAAATAAAAGATAACTAAATAAGACACAGTATATAACTAAATCACAGTCTATAATTTGACCCAATTGGAAATGCAAAATTTATATACTAAAAACTTATATGTTATATATAATAATTATGTATAGCATAACAAAATTTATACTCCAAAAAAAAATTTATCACCAAAACATAACACGGCACTGATCGGTTTTTCTGACTCTACAATATAGGTTCTGAGTTAACTTTAGAATTTGCTAAAATGTACCAAATGACAAAACTTCATACATTTAATTAATACTAGGGCTCAAATCATAGTGATACCTGGAGATCCCACTAAATTTAAATATTACTCTGCCCAAACTTAAAAAGTAGCGAAATACAGAGGAAAAATACGTATGTCTCACTTTAACTGTAGACTTGCCTATATTTCCCCTACTCATAGTATCCATTGTCCTAAAATATCCCATTTTGGGCATGGATGCTCACAAATTGACTTGGTAAAATGGGACCCACAAACACCAGTTGAGATAGTGAATATGGCCCAGTGGAAGCTGGAAAAGGGCCTCCAGGGAGTAAAACTTCACATAACAGCTAATCAATAAAGGAATGACTGTCCTATTGCTTCTCCATTTGACAGCCCAGTTGTGTCTGTTCTTAACCTGGGAAAAATAAAGGGCTCCTCCTGGTGGGTTACTACAATCTTAATGTGGTGGTCCATCCATTAGGGTTCCTGCTAAGGACCGAGTGTGTCTGCCCCTAAATGTCATTACTTAGCCCAAATTCCCAATGTGATCACATCTGAAGATAGGGCCTGTAAGGAGGTAATTAAGGTTAAATGAGGTCGCGGGGATGTGGCCCCAATCTGGGAGGACTGGTGTCCTCAAAGAGGAGGAGAAAGGGGCCTTTCCAAGCCAGAGGCAGGGCCACGTGAGGACACAGCACAAAGGCAGCAGCCAGGAAGAGCTCATCATCAGAAACCCGTCTGCTGGCACCTCAGGTCTGGGACTTCCAGCCTCCAGAATGCCATGAAAATAGAGCTATTGTTTAAGCCACACAGTCTGGCAGGCAGAGCTGATCCACACGATCCACACACCCAATACCCAATATAAATAAATTAATAACGTTATCCAATCAACAACCTGGCGACGACCTTGGGCTTACAGATCTGGCTGACCGTCTTCTGTTCAGGGCCTGTTTCAACGGCTTCTCTGCCAGCCTGCCTTTACTCTGAAGGTAAACTCTTCTTTCCCAGGCTGCCTGTGAGGCTGGCTCCACAGCTCTGCCGCTGCAATCTCTGCACACAAGAGCTTAAGTGCACCCACCTTTCTCTAGTAGCACAGGTGTGACGGTACACTGACGACAGCCTCGTCCAAGGAAATTCACTCGACACATTCATATGGATACATCAATCCGGTGTCTTTTCGTCCCATTGTGGGGACAGTTTCAGCTAATACTACTACTTAGTGTTATTTGGGGGCTGGTGACTACATTCCTCATTTATAAATTTTATTTAATCTCACTACTGCTGTTAGTTACCAATCAGCCCAACTGATTACCAATTACCCCAATTACCAATCCCAAAGGATTTCCTCCAACAAAGACTCTAAGATCTATTCAAAATACCGTTAACAGCACAAGCTCAGCACAGCTCCTCAGGACTCTGTAAGACAGAATGGAACCCCATCTGGGCCCTCTGGCATAGCTCCACTTGTAGGAGGTGGCAGCTTCTCCTGTCCTCAGTCCCTTGCCAGACGCTACAGTGCTGGAGGAGGTCAGCCCTCCCCCAGACCCTCTGGCCACCTGGAAAGTCCCTTGAGATTAACAGAGTGAACAGTTACGGGAGTTTCTGGACTATTAGGAAGACACTGCTATCCATCATACGTGATGGAGTTCAGTGGAATGTTGCTGCTTTCTATCCCTTAGCCAGAATGTTCTAAATAAAAAATGAGACCTAAAAAATATTACTTGACCAAACTTCGTGGGGGGGGGGGTATCTTAGTGCCAAATGCCCTGATCAACAAATGGCCCCATCTCCACATTCATTATAAAGTGCAGGGCCATTGCCTAAAAATGGTCTGCTTTGGGGTAAAGAACTCCTAAGAATCTCTTGTCTCACAGACACTCCAAATAGAAGTCAAAATCATACATCTCTGCACATACAGCCACAACACAAGGCACTGCCAGGACATTCCTTATTCCCTTCAGAGTTGCAGACAATACTGGTAATAGACACACATTTCACTTCTCAAATTACACAATGCTACGCTCTGGGAAGAGACATTCAACAGAGCTTTCATGGCCCAAACATGCCCCAAAGAACTGGTTTAAGTAAAAGACATAAATGGTCACTTGAAACAACTCCTTTTAAATTCCAGTGTGACAAATAAACCCCTAAATGGGTCTCTATCTTGCCTTAATAAAAGGCCTCTTGGTCTACTTACACCGCACACTAACACCACTGTTTCAACCAAACATGGCAAAAACCCCATCGATGTGAGTGGGCACTCACTTGCAAAGGATACCCCAGTCACACACCCAGACAACATCGTGCCAGACCCCTCAACAATGAAGACGACTCCACCCCCTGATGCTAAAACCTTCACCCCAGCAAATGTCCATAGACTACCTCTCTTAAGACAGAAATTAGACACAGGACCTTTTTTGCTTTCTATTAAGAATTCTATTATGTTCCTGAGGTGACTTTTTTAAAAAACTTCTAAGGAGGAAGGGTAAGGGTGACGAATCATTTGATTATAACACTGGAACATTCTGTTCCATCCCTTCACCTCTGTGGAGGCAAAAAGGGCTGGAGATTGAGTTCAATCACCAACGGCCAGTGGTTTCATCAATTATGCCTAGGTAATGAAGCTTTCACAAAAAACCCTAACTAAAGTCATTCAGTGAGTTTCCAGGTTGGTTAACCCAACGAGGTGCTAGAAGGGTGCAAGCCCAGAGGGCACGGAAGCTCAGTGCCCTGTCCTATGAACCTTGTTTGCATCTCTCCCATTTAGTGGTTTCTGAATTCAAAACAGTTAATATTAAGTAAGGTGCTTTCCTAAGTTCTGTGAGCCACCCTAGCAAATGGTCAACTCTGAGGAAGGGGTCCTACCTCTGATTTACAACCAACTGATCAGCACAGGTGACAACCTGGACTTGAGACTGGCGTCTGAAGTGGATGTGGCTGGGAGGGCGAGAGGCTGCCCAGGAGACTGAGCCCTTAACCTGTGGGATCTGTGCTAACTCCACGTAGTCAGTGTCAGAACTGCATGGTGTGAAAACAAAATTTGGTATCAGAAGTTGCTGAGTAGAGGAAAAAGTTCTTCTTTTACACACAACTACAACACACACAGGCACATGTGTACAGGTGTGTGCACGTGTATATATACACAAAACACACACAGATACGTAAAATATACAATAGCATTACCTCCCTGTGTCGTCTGTCACTGAGTCACCTCCGTAAATTAAAATCTTTCAAGTACAAATTAATAGAGGGGGAATGCTGTGGGAATTTAAATGAGTAGAGCATGAATAGGCCCGAAAAGTCCTGCTTGGTCAGTGCTCAGGGCATCTGTGCTGATGATTATGAACTTTTTTAACATGACTCATGTCTATTTTTTCTTATTTTCGTCAAAGAAAGAATCTTGCATCACTCTGGTAAATGGGAAACCTAGAGTCACTTCCTTTGGTGGCAGGTCACCACGAAAACTCAACAATGAAATCAAAATGATGTTAAATCCCAGTGACCTCATGCTCCCTACTCAGGGCTATAAACTCAAGGCTACTCCGTTTTAAAGGGAAAAGTACCAACAATCGGAGGGTGGGGGGAATGAAGAAAGTGTATTAAGACTCAGCACTAAATCCAGACTTGCCATCAAAAACAATCAGAAGGCAGGAAACGATTATGTCAGGTTGTCTCTCAATGCCAGTTGACGAAGTATTCCTGCACTCTCTGAAACAAGGTTTCTCAATCTCGCATAATTACTTGGGTTCATGGGCATGACTATTTAGGTCAAGGTAATTCTTTGTTGGGAAGACAGGGAGGAAACTGTCCTGTGCATTGTAAGGACGTGCTGGCAGCATTCCAGGTCTCCACCCACTAGGTGCCGGTCCCACCTCCATCCCACCTGTGACAACCAAAAATATCTCCAGACACTGGCCAGCGTCAGCGGGGGGCGACACCATCCCTGGATGAGAACCACTGGCACAGAGAGTTGTCACCAGGATGACGAGACCAAGTGAGGGGTGGGGGAGGGGCCGCCATGAGCTCCGCTGGGCAGGACACAGCTGGCGAGACAGTGATTCTGCACAGAAGGGGTGACCGCGAGAGAGGCTGAAATGGCCACGGACACTCCCCAGGCAGACACAACAGCAAGCAGAGGCCCGAGGCAGGGCTGGGCGTGGGGAAATCACTAGATGCCCAGCACAGCCAGAGCACAGTGAGCTCAGGGAAAGCACTGACGGTGGCGGATGAGGTCAGCAGGAAGAGAGAGTGGACTTTTTATTTTGAAACATTTTGTTATGAAATATTTAATCTAGCCAACTTTTCTAATTTTGCTTTTTCTCTTCTCACTGACAGACATAATTCCAGTCCTCTAAGAACAGGCATGTCTCATCCTAAGCTCTGGATTTATAGCCCTCCTTTCCCTCAAGTTGAATGGCGCTGTGGTCACTCTCCTCAAGCAGAGAAACATCTAAGCTGGTGTTTCTCAACCATGGCACTCTGGATGCTGCAGGCGGGACAATCCTTCATTCAGGAGGGCGGTCCTGTCCATCGAAGGACGTTTACGGCATCTCTGGACTCTAACCACTAGACGCCAGTACCACCTACACTCAAGGCCAGACAACCCAAAGTGGCTGCAAACATCGCCAAATGTCTCCTGGGGGCACAAATCCCAACTGCTGAGAAGTATTACTCTAACCTCTCTCTCGGACTGGCAGAGGATGCTGGCCCTCGAAACAAGTGATAATCGCGAAGGCACACAGACACAAAGGAGCCCCACAACCGGGATCATGTTGTTTGGGACAACACCTGTTGGCACTGAAGGCAAAGGCCTCCCGGGGCCCTGCCTGACTCACTCTCTTCTTGGAGAACACCCCATCACTCACAGCCCTGCTAAGGACACTTGAGCCAATCAGGCTCACACAGTCAGCTCCCTCTCTGGAATGTGAAATCAGAACCTCGGATGGAGGCCGGTCTGTGCTGGGCACTGGGTGAGAGGTCCAGAGAAGCACTGGCTCGGGTGGCCGTTCCTGCCCCAAGGACACCGCACACAGCCCAGCAGCAGACAGAGAAAGAGGAACAACATAAACACGAAAAAAGACGCGGAGACCAGGAATCTGGGGGCCAGAAAGAGCAGGGACCAGGTGGCCAGTCCTGTCGCAACCTGATGAGGCAGAGGAAAAACCTTTCTGCATACAGTGACATGAGCAGAGAGCCAGAGAGAGAAGCCAGGACAAGAGACCAGAAGCCAGGGTATAATCGTGGTGGTTCCCTGTTCCTCTGTCAGTCCCTCACAGGACCCAGCTGGAAACCCTCCCTCTGGGTCTGCACAACACCCCCCTTTCCTTCCATTACTTTCTAGGAGCCAAAGAGGAACTGTTTCTTGCCCAGACAGACACAGGAGAGCAGGCCCAAAGAGATGAGTCTAGAAAATGACTGAAGCTGTGGGCGGGTGGGGGTGGGGACCCAGAGGCCTTCTTGACCAGCCAGGCCTGGAGCCACAGGGTGCTCTGACAAGAAGGTGGCAGGTCCCCCCATGGTGGAGTGGGGAGGACTCACCCAGAGACACCAGAAGGCCACAGTTTTCCAGCATCACCTCCTGGTACAGGGTCCTCTGGGCCGGGTCCAGCTGCCCCCACTCCTCCTGGGTAAAAGTCACGGCCACATCATCGAAGGTCACAGATATCTGGAAAGTCAAACAGAGGTAGTAGCGTTGGCCTTGGGGCTGTTGGATGTGATCAGAGCTCATCCCTACATCCCTGGTAAAGACGCGGAGTGATCAAGGTTCAAATCACCAAGTACCTCCTGAGGGCTAAGCTCTGTGCTGGGCTCAAGGGGCAGGTGGGCAATGCTTTGGATGTACTACGGTAGAGTCTAAGGGAGAAGCTTTCTCCGTGGGAGCCACTGGAAGGTCACACAAGACAATGGAAATGACGCGAGGACTGGGAGATGCAGACAGCAAGGGCTCTAGGACGTCAGAGGAATGAGTGAATATGATAACAGTACCAGTAACAACAGCAGTACCTGAGCCTCACTGGTCCTGCTAGCTGCCTGCCCCATGCTGAGGGCTTCACATCCTGGTTAAAGGGACTATAAGTCCCCAGTTCTTAAGTCA